AAAACAGCTGAAAAATCTAAAATAGTTCATACCTGCACCTTATAAGCAAGTTTCTTACCAGTTGGGAAAGTAGTAGCATGGAATCTGGGTATGTTCTCAGGACAATCTATTTTTGACACTCACTGCAGGATTCAGCAGCAAGAGACAGTAGAGGTCATTTAGTCACTATGCCCCAAGCTGCTTCACCAGAAAGCTGCATGCTGCTTCAAGGGCTTGTATCAGATCAAACAGCTCTTGGCTAGTGTTTTGTATACCCTAGAGAGTCTCAAACGGCATTACCTGCCTGTGGTTAGGTGACACCATCTCTGATACACTCCTTGACCACAGATGGTCACAAAGAGAGTGCAGGAAGACCTTTCTTCTTCCCCCCTTTTGCAGCTTCTCAACCAAAAATAAATCTACATCACAAAATGACAGGCACAGAATTACTTTGAAGACTGTAAAGTGGCCAGACATCAAAACATCCCACAACAATAAATAATACTTTAGATTAGTTTCCATTCTTAAATCATTTTATTAAAAGCAGCCTAAGATTTTACAATGAAGGAATATTATGACATGAAGACAGTTGAGTACTTTATAACTTTTCAATATTTGTGCATCACACAGTCTTTTCAATACGTATCGTAAGTGGTAGATGTGCAGCAAAAAATGCCCTGCGGCATGGAGAGGACAGTCCCACAGCAGGTTGTACATGTGCTTCCAGGCACATTTCTGTGGTTGAGCTCAATAACCAGAGAGACTAAAAAGGTATGGGAGAAGAGCCTGTGGGAGGGAGTCAAATACAGAGGGGAGAAACATGAGGCATGCTGAAAGGAGGGATGCAAGCGCGTGCAGTGAGCGTGAAGGTGATAGAGAAAGACACCATTATCCATGCCGCCTCTCTGCAAGCAGCTGCAGGCAGGCAGAGCCAGTGCTCCTGTGAAGTGCTGCTGCAGTCCATAAGCTCCACACAAATCCTAGGGTCCTCCCACCTGCTGCAAAGAAGCCTGCAGTGTTCAGGTGATGTGAAGGGCTTCCTCTGTCATTCTTCTCCCGAGGGAGCTAGGGAGGGGTTCCGAAAGGAAAAAAAAAAGAGATAGAGACAGGTGGGGTTTCACCAGGAGAAGGTGTTTGAAATGGGCATGGCAGGTAGAAAAACATTGCTGGCAGGAATCCCAAAGTAGAGAAATGCAGTCTACATTTAGGGAGGAGAGAGAGACAATTTTGCATTGTGCATTGCACTGACTCGGAGGGAACGAAAGATGGAGGAAGCTGTATCTTGCAAGGGAGAATCAAAACATTGGGTAAGCAGCTAAGCCATACAGAAAGAGAGGAAGGGTCAAATATTAGATGTGGGGGTGAGGAGAGAGGAACAGCATGAATTCTTGTAAAGAGTTGTAATAATCTAAACATTGGCAGGGCCTTAACTAGGCAGCCCTGCTGGGTGCCCAGATAATACAACTGATTTTAATTGCTGATGTGTGCATTTTATATCATTTGCCTGATTCACAGCCCTTTTATGACCATTGCATTTGACCACAAATCAACGGTCAGTCATAAGGCGTCACAAAAATCACATTCTCCCTAAACAGGCTGTGTTATTTTTATTGGTATTCAATATTTAGATTTTAATGGAGATAGATGGATAGGCATAAGGATAGGAGCAAGATGGGGCACAGAGAAACTGATATGAAATAAACAGGTTGACAAAACACAAAGGCAGGAGGGAAGAGACAGATGAATAGTCAGGGAGGTGCCTGCCACCAAGGTGGGCAGATATCATCTGGAGGCAGACTGCTTGGAAAAGGCTGACGACTGACAAAACTGTCATGCAATAGAGAAATATGAATGTGAAATGGGAAAGAAGGACCACAGAGACTGAAAACTAATTTTCTACACAAATCACATTGTTCCACCTTCCCCCTTCCTCTACCCCACCACTCTGCTCCTTCCCACCTCTCCCTGTTTCCGAGTAGCGGGATATAAAAGGTTTGATTTCTGTACTAGGATGCTGCATATTTTCAGATGTAGTATTGTTAGCTGGAGGTCTACCAGAGGATGCATATTGCTTCTCTCCCACCTGCTGTTCATTTCATAAACTGCAATCAGTACACAGTCAGTCAACACCTCTCTTGTTTATTATGTGGTACAGCAGGAGATTTCGTTAGACCTTTAACGCACTGGACCAAATGCCACACATCCCACATCATAACAGAGGGTGAGACCGGAGTCTGCAGCACCTGCACCTCCTTTGTCCACAGATCTCACAGACTGGTTTCTCTCTCACGCGTATACCTTTGAACTGCATTACTTTAAATTATTTCACATTGCCTTGAATTTATTTTGCTGTGCTTGCTGTTGATTGCCTTGTTAGTGTATGCTCACTCAAGAAGCTATTATAGAAAACAAAACTAGCATTTATTTCTGTAGAACAGGAACAAATGACTGTTGCAGTCAGATATTTATTGTATCTATCACATGACACAGGAAGTAGATATTTCCTCTTGTTAAGGGAGAGGAATCTCACACTCAGACTTGATTGCTTTGGATACAGTGCCAAAGCTGAGGGGTTGCTTACCACTGTTACCAGCTTATGCTTCCAGCCTAGTCTAGAAACACCATATCTTCATTTGCATATGCATGCATAAGTTCCTCAGACTTTTACTCTTAAAAGCCTGACAAACATCAGTTTTGTGGATCACATGCATTTACTTCACAGATCTTTGTATATAGTCAATGCAAACATGGAGTTGTGACAGGAAAGGGACTACCTATCCCTCTGCCAGACTGGGATATCTTAGATAGACACAGTGTATGTGCGTGTCTAAGGTTTTGTCATGCACTCAGCCTTCTGGAAAATCTCAGAGTTATGCACATGCCTAGAGTGAGAAAAAGACAAGGCAAGAGCCTCCAAAATTCCCAATGAAGCATATAGGTTGCACAGTTGCATCTGGCTTGCAAACCTGTCTGGATGTATGGTAGCTTCTGATGAACGGTTCAACATGCCATGTGAGTGTAAAGGACATGTGCAGATATATTGGTCCCACTTGAGAGTACAACTGACTAGAAATTCCAGGCAAACACAGGAATTCCTTGTTACTTGCCTGATATCCAGTCAAAGGACAAAACTGTGTCTCAAACCTCATTCTTTGTAAGAGGAGTAGGCATGTTATAATCTTTTGCCCATTTTAAAGATGGGATCATTTGCCAGGTGTATATTTCACTCCCTGCAGATCTGAAAGTATGACTTCAGCTGTAAAGTGGTAGACTCAGGTCTCCATCAATGACTCATACTGTCCTTGTGTTTGCGCATGAATATATGAAGTTTCTATGCTTGTCTGTGACATCTCTTAAGTGACCACACTCCCCAAAGTCAGGAATAAAATCTGAGAAATATCCTTCAAACATTTGTAGCTGGCAAATGGTATATGACACCCTAGCAATGCCTGTCTTCCAGTCTTTTCTTATGGATAATAGAAGAAAAGGCAGTTACTGCTCCCTGACATTCACGGGGCTCATGTGGATGAGATCTGAAAAGGGAATCTAAATGAATATGGGTACAAAGGATTCAGTAAGGCTTCATGTGACTTGTTTTCAATCTTCCAGGACTTTTTTAAAAGAATTACATTCAAAAATTTGCATTGTTCAATCAAACACTTAAAAAATAGAACAAAAAGGACCAATGAAACTATAAATCTGCCTAGCTCCTTATTCATGTGTAGCTTTTATTATGCAATCACATACTCTGATCTATAAGCTTTCTCTGTACAGAATGAGAAAGCAGATAGCAAAAGCTGCCTTTAGTCAGTCTTTTCCAGACTTGGTACTCTTTTAATATAAGATGACGTGATTGTGGGCAGGTTTGGGGTTTGCTGACAAAGACCATGCCTGACCCTGTTCCCACAGTATCCTGCATTCTCTTATCCACTGCAAAGCATGGCACTGAACTAACATCCCCTGTTGTGGGGAAGACAAGAATTAGACATATCTTATGTGGGTAGCATGAAATGGCTCATCAGGAGCTGCATCAAACTACCTAATTAATGCCTAAGCAAAGATGACACTATTGCTGATTTCAACTTTGCATGACAGTCAGATAGTGTGAAACAGAGATACCACACATAAGGGTGGACATGAACTGATATAAACATGGAAAGATGGAAGAATGGAGATAAGGAGGAAAATGCCATTTGCTTTTTTCACATGAGAAAGTTAATTCAGGCAGGATGGTGGACATTATCAGGATGTTCATCTGATGTCTTGGGTCTTCATTCTCTTTCCCACTGAGGTGCAAAACCATGAGGAGGGAACAGGAAAATCTATGTACCAGATAAAGAGGGACCTAGAGACAGACCTAAATCAGCAGAGCCAGCCATTACTGGTATAAACCTTGAACAGTCTGTAATAGACCATACCCCTTCCTTCACGAAAAAAACCTGCTGCAGATCTGCTTTCCTATGAGATGCTCTCAGTTTCCACCAAGTTTGAGCATTTACAGGTCATGGAGACCCTGAAAAAGAAATGCGTGGTTTTGGCCTCATTCTCATTTGCGAGTAAATAGGACAGTAAGATGTATCAAACCTGTAAAAGGAGATGCAGAAAGTGAACCTGTTTACACTGAAAATCATACTTTCACAGCCAGCCTCTTGTTTACAGGGACTTCCAGAAGACAGGGACAAGGTTATTTAGAGGATCCTGCTTTCTGATGGCAAAGCATTCCAGTAGAACCTCAGATACGGAGATAACAGATAAGTAAAACACCTGACCAATCTGTCTGAAGTGCTAAAAACTAATTTGTAGCACCCAGGAGTTTGCAACCTGGTCACTCTGTGACAGCTTGCACCCTCTGAGAGCTTGTGCACAAAAATGGCCTTCCCAGGCCTTAAGCCTGCATTAAAGGTCACCTCTGTGGAAAAGTCAGCTGTTACCCAGGAAGGTATGGAGCAGCTCTCCTCAGAAAAAATAATATAGTGGAAAAAGGTCAACCTGCTCTACCTGCAGGGCAAGCCGCTCTGCTTCCCAGGTGAGCTTGGAAACTGTGTATGAGGAACTGACCTGCAAGGCTTGATACCTGGCCTGCAGCAAATGCCCTCCAAATCCATTTCATTGACAGGGATGCTCAGCCCATGCAGAAAATACACATGGATGACTGGTAAGGATCCGAAATGAGATGTAAAAGCTTCTCCGTGACAGTGAGAAAAAATCAAGTCAAAGTCAAAAAGATGGTTCCTTAACTCTTTTCATGTAGAGTTTTTCAGAAAATACAGGAAAAGCCAAACAGAGCCACATCTGCCTGGGTAGGGGAAGACCAGAAGGGAAAAGAAAAGCTCCTCAATTTGAGATTTTTTCCTCCATTTTGTCTCTGTTCCGGGGACTGGACTCTAAAGGGCCAGCCTCTTGCAAAAACTGATGATAATTTGGGTATGAAGATTTCATAGAAAAATGGTCTTCAAGACAAAAATCTTTCTGACTAGGCTCATTCATCCTGGCTCAAGAGACAGTTTTCATTTTTAAAGACAAAAATGTTTCTGCAAGATAGTGTCAGATAGCTTTTGAAGGCCAGTCTTTCCTTCATCACTGTGGTACCTATATTCCCACCAGAAATGGACACCTGGGGTGATCAAAGTCAAAAGAAGCACGAGTTCATGTTAAAGCTACCCCTCCCAGAAGAATGGACCAGACAACTCCACAAAGTCTCCCAGAGGCCAGCACTGTGTTCAGCACACATCTCAGCACTGCAGAGCCATCCTGCCCCTATGAGGCTCCAACAGCCAGCTCCAGGGACTACCTCAGATCTGCACACTTGAGCAGCTGTGAGGACCACAGCCAGTCCCCTGCTGTCTCAGCCTCTCCGAACAAGTGTCCAAACTCCCCTGCCCAAAAGCACATCTCCAGGAGTGGGTCTGTGCAAGCCAGGCACAGAAGTTACTTATGTGAGCTGTGCCCTCAAGAGTTAGGAGCAGAGACAGGATGATCTGTAGCAGGACCCAGCCTAGAGTTTGAACAATTTCTAAGACAAACAGATGAAGATCAAGCAGCAACTTGGCTGTATCACTGCCACACTCCAAGCTAGATAACAAGGCCATTTCTTGCTGTGAAATGGTACTGGCTATATTCAGGAGGAAGGTCTGACAGTGAAGAGGGAGGTGTCATCTACAGCTTCCTTGTTTTTCAATATTACGTGTATATAGCTGGAACCAGTATGTCTTCCACTGACACTAGCCCCAAGATGCAGACATCTCTGAGGAGCAGACAGCATACAGAACAAGGAGCCTGATATATGTTGCCATTACCTTTAGGAGTGAGTTACTACCGTGGTTCATTATTTGCATAACAAACAAGTGCCAGAAGCCACGGCGGGCGCCCACTTTTGACTTTACTAACAAATCTATGCCTGTAATGCTGCATGTCATTTATGAATATAATGAAATACATAAAAAAACATAAGTGAAATACAGTTGCACTCTACAACAGTTTTGAAGTTGTTTTTCTTGACTAGCAGCACACTTACAAGGGTTGCTATTCAGCTGAGGTCCTCTGCAGCAATCATTTTTGCAAACTCACAGTGTGTTCCAGGAAAAATCTCAGAGCAATTTTCTATTTTTGAGAGCTAAAGAAGAAGTCTGCGGAGGGTGAGACGCTGAAAGCTGCTAGTCCAGAATCCAGAAGTGCCATCAATAGAAAGCACAGGAGACTGGAACTTGCAAATGACAGGTACTTTAGTATCATCCTCTACAGGCAGCTCTAGATTTCCCCCTTAACACAGAAAAAATGGGGTCTCCAAGTCAAGGTAGCTGAAGGTCCTCAAGTTAGGTGACAGAGCTACAAAGCTTCCCAGATGGGTTTCTGCTGAAAAGGAGATGTGGGGCTGGCTGGCTTCTCTTTGAAAATAGTGTGAAGACATAGTGAACCCCTGTTTCCGCCAAAAAAAGAAGTGTTTAACTCTGCAGACAATTAGATGAAGAAAATGAAGGAATAGGCTAGAAGTTAGGTTTCCCCACCCTCTTTACTCCATAAGGAGACTTTTTCAAACTTTCAGAAGGTGGACATGTGTTATTATATCAGGGATGTGAAAGGGATCTCAGTTTTCCTCAGCTCATTTTTAGTCCCTGGCAGGGTTTGCATGCAGACCTAGCTAATTTGCCAATCGCTCTGGGAGTTCATGGTTCCCTGGTTTGGGAGACATTTCAGAATGAAGGAACTTTCACCTTTCCAAATAATGCACTTCTTGTTTCCCTCACATGCACCAGAAAAATGAACTCCTCCCTAGACAGCACTTCCTCTGGCATGTTTCTATGATGATGGGTACCAAAGTAGTTCATTGTACATAAGTGGTGTACAGGTACAACTCTCCAGTTAAGACCTGGTTGCAGCACTGCTCATTTCAGTGTGAAGCATAAGTAACCTACATTGGAACATCCAGGGACATAACTTGAGGGTGATTTAAGTTCAAATTAAAATCTTTCAAGGACTTCATTAAAGCTGGAATAACAGTAAAGAATATTCATGGCAGATGGTTAACATTCTGCTATGGAGTATAATGCTAACCATTGAAAAAATAAATCAGAACTAAACATATATTGAATTTATTCCTTGCAGCATGCTTAGAGAAAGAGAGAAAGTAGTGGTTTAGACTTACAAAGTCTTTACATGTGCACAGTTTTGGAGAGAACACATGGATACACATAGGGATGTGTGTGTCCTTTGGGCTGGGGAGAAGAATGAGCAGTGAAAACTGTATACCTTTCTGCTATCAAAAGACTAAGACAACTATGGTTGACAGTAGCATATTACACAGAGTAAAGTAATGATGTGATAGAAGTGAGGTTTGGTTCCACTGCCCTTGCAGTAATGAGGAAAAATAAAACATACATTAGGATGGGAACCTTTCTGCAGTCTTCCACTGCAGAACTTTGCTTTCCCCATCTTATTCCCACTTCGCTCATATAGAGGAGTCTTGCTATTTATGTATCTTGATGCATCTACCAACAGTACTGCTGATTACATTGTTAATATTTGAATTTATAATAATAGGAAGGTGGGCAAGATTTAAGGGGTTGGTGTAACTGTAAGAGGTTACCATTTAAATTTCCACATTAACTGCAAGAGTCAGCATAAATATGCTCTGAGGCACCCTACAGCAATGAAAATCTAAATTCAGCCAGGACTACTTGTGCTTTTCTAACATGTAGCTCTTAATAGAAGTTCTAATTCACAGTGTGATCAATTCCTTTTAAAAATTGGTTAACCAAACATAGGAAAAATAGCTTCATTTTAGGGACTGAGCAAACATAATAATTCTCCCTTCCCTTTCATGCCTTCAGACTGTATGTCTCCAAACAATACCTACCCTTAGAATTGTAAACATAGCAGAAATATTCTTGAATTGTCAGAATATGGTTCCAAAGAAGTGCTTTCCAGATTGGAAATGATGGTACATTCCACTTACAGTTCTGAGACAAGTTAATTAGACGTATACAATAAACTACATAGTAATTTCAAAGTAACTCCACTGGAAATGATGGTAATTACACAGTCATTGAAGTAAAAAGGTCCTAAATAGAAAAACACAGCTCAAATGGCTATGTATATGTAGGTACTTTAACCTCAGCTTCTTCTTTTCCTCTCCAAGTTCAAAATACTGAGTACTCACCCTATGTGCATGCTTCTTGGCAATTCATGGCTCAGTCTGAAGTACTGTTTCATTTTGTGGTACTCTAAAAGCAGTCAGATGCCTAAGGGCTTTGCAGGACTGGAGCTATAGCACTTGACAGAGTCCATGACCAAGCCCTTGGCCATTTCACCTCCACTGTATGATACCACTCCATGAAATCTTAATTCTGGCTAAAGGACAGAAGCACAACCAAAAGGAAAAAAAATAAAATAAAATGAAGAAGAGATCATATGCAAGGCACTTTCTTGTTCAGAATACCATGCAAAGTTTAGAGTATGCTTTGCTTTGGGTCTTGGGCCAGAAATCTTGGGTTCTGGTTCCTGTCTTCACTTATGCCAATATAGTGTTCATTAGCTTCGCTAGAGATAACCCCAGTGTAAATGACCTGAGAAGTCATTTACAGAAGAGCTTTATTTGTTTCTGAATAAACACTTCTATATGCTTGAAAATAAATGAACGTATATACAGAAGTACTGAGAAGCCCTTTTTGAACACTAAACCTAGCCCTTGCTGGTGTGGGAAAAGCAGATGACTGATATCCAAAGTGCAAACACGCCATGTCTCCCATTCAGGATTGAAAAGGCTTCTTCCAAGACAGCCGCAGAAGAATAGAACCATTGACCAGCACTTGTCCCAGCTCATGGCCAACACCATCTTCTGCAGGAAACAATGAGATGAAGCCAAAAGGTGCAGTGGCAAAGCCTGTCCCTTCATGAAGGTCTCGATCAGGAGCCATGCAAAACATTTCCCAAATCCCCCTGAGGAAAGTGAGTTGTGAAGAGTAGATGAAGACTGCTACAGCCTTTTAAGGACAATGAAAAAGCTGCAGGAAGGAGTGGCACACAGTGTCCCAGATAGATACACTGTGTAAGGAGGGAACAGTTTGACTATTGGCGTGCAGTTATGTACAATCTGGAATGAAAAAAAGAAGTCCTTCAAATTCTCAAACATGTATTTATATATTTACCCCCCACCCTCATAGAGGTTTCATTGTGTGACTCATGAAACATGCCATTTTAAAACCTTAGAGGAAAAGTTGTCAGAATATATTGTGCTTTAAAGCCTTTCTTTGGTCTCTCATTTAAAGGTCTCTCATTTAAATCTTTGAAAGCAAGACTTTGTCAGGTTTTTTTTTCACATCCACTTTGGTTTTAATATTGTAGAGATGCATGCACCTTCCCTCTTATGAGTTAAGCACTTAAAATATTCTAGATAAATGAAATGTGAGACATGAATTGTGAAAATGACAACTGTTCCTTATGGCCCCCTATATGCAGAGCAGCTCCAAGTCTCGCAGACCCTTCAGACTTCCATCTCCTCCTTTGGTGTGTACAGTTTAACACCACACTGATAATAAAAGGTAAATGAGTTCCCACAGCAGAATAAGTATCAAGTATATGAAGCTTTTGTGAACATGGATGCTGCTCTTACCATTATGGGCAATTAGAGGGCTTTGAAAGTGTGTTGCCTGACTTTCTGTTGCTTGGTAACTGTGCACCTAATTCTTTCTCTAAGAGGTCACAGAAATGTCAGAAAATCCTTTTTTTTTTTAAGGGAGAGGAGGTTGGAGGGAGCAGGCGAGATACCAGTGCCCCCATCAGAACAAATCCATCAGAACAGTGCCATATAGATTTGTTAAAAGAACTTCATGTCTTCCATTAGTAGATAGTATGATTATTTGCCTAGCAGTATAAAGCTGTGCAATTTCTGAACTGTGCCAACTGTATAACATGCTTACTGTGCCAAAGAGCTTAGGAACTGCAAACACACTGATGAAATTTGGCATGATACAGGTCAATATAACTCGTGAATACACTGACAAATAGCCATTATTGGCCTGATGCAGAGCCTGGTGGAGTTAATGGAAAAACACACTACAACAGCTATGATACTGTTAAAGTTTTAAGGAGATTCTGACGTTAGAAGCTTTGCAAACATTGTCTGGCACAGGAAAAAAAATATGAACTTAGAAGGAAGCTAATGAGACAGAAGATAAAATTCTCTTCTCCAAAGAGATCCAAGTTGCTGTTCCTGCAGCCCCTAAGTACTAAATGTCTTTCACTGAGGGACAGCAAATTAAGTGATGTCTGTAAAGGGAGAGTTTGGCCATTTTTATGCGAATTTTAAGGAACAGGACTTTGGAAATATATCTCATCTTCAGCAAATTCCCAGACCTTTCTGCTTTGAGACATGTTTAGTAATACATTCTCCATGTTACACACTATTCCCCACAAATGGATACTGTCAAAAAACCCTACTTCCCTTCAACTTGAGCAGTGTACTCAAGTTTGCAAAATGCAGTTTAGATTAAACTAGTGCCCCTGAGATTAAATGAATGCATTTCAACAAGGACACAATATGCAGGTGGACACCACTGACCATCAATCATTTTCTTGCAGAGCTGGAGGCTTCCCACGTTTGTCACTATAATCATTCTGCAAGAATTTGCAAACATTTTCTGAAAGTGTGTTTAGAAGGAAAGAAGAGCAGACAATATATTATGGGTTTAAGAAACTGAGTCCATACCATCATAAAAATAAAGCCCCTGTTTTTTAAATAGCACAGCTGTGTAACCTTTAGACCCCTCCTCAGGACAGTCTGTGGCTGTGCGCAGCGTAAAAACAAAAAAGAGGTTCCCAGCCTAGCTTTGTCCAAAACCATTTCTGCACAATGGCTGACCTTAGGCCATCACCTAGTGATGGTAGATGTATTGATGGAAAACTGCAACTTAATTTTTAATGTCTTACCAAAAGAAAATAAACTTAACCTTTTCTTACAATCTTCCACTGGAAGGACTACTTCAACTTAGAATTATCAAAAGGATATGAATACTTACATATCCATTACTGGCAGCAAATGATTCTGTAATACAAATCACTACCACTAAAACAAAAAATCACAAATCATTAGAAGAAGTAGGTCTTTAAAGCAACAGGATAAAGAAAATGCAGTCAAGCTACAATAATGCCTGTTCTTTAAGTACGTTCGTGTAGTTCAGCCACCGCTTTTTCTTCAGACTTTTGAGGTAAATGTGTGAAATCATATCATTCATTTATATACAGAAAGAATTAACATGATTCCAGAAATCACATCAATAAAGGTTTCATGCATACCCAAAATAAAGGAGGCAGCACATGCTACTCTAAGAAACACATCTTGGCAAAATCCAGCAAAAGTTTGTGAAGACACTTGTACTATTATTCTAGCCCACAGACAAACATGGATTCTGAATCACTTCAATGCATAATTAAATTCTACTGTGCTAAGTATTTTTCTTCTGGCATGATTTCCCAAGGACACCATAGAAGATGGAAAAATGTATTATATAACCTTTTAAAAATGTAAACTTCAGGAAAAACTCTTGAAATATTTCTGAGCAAAGTCCTTTGGAATTTAACTGTGTTAGAGATTTTTGGGAAAAGTAGTCCCTAGAAAGAAAAAAAGGAGTCTAAAAGTGACTAACCAGAAAACCATGACAATAATTATGTTGTAATAAAGGACTGTTTTTTCCAGTATTGACTGTGGATGCGAATTTAACATTGCCTGAGAATGAGCTATGTCAGCCACAAGGAGAGCTATGCAGGTAGGTAATGAATGAGATGTCTGTTAGACCTTCCCAACTTTTCCTGTGGATGGTTTAAAAGCTCTGCAAAGTTTATAAATGTAGTAAAATACTAAATGGCCACTGGCATTTAAGCAACACAAAAACTGCAGGCATACACATCTACACACCCACACGTTTTCTGTAAATAAACTGTCATCTTGAAGTTCAATGACTGCATTTTGCTGCTCCATATACCATCTTGTTGCAAGCAGCAAACTGATTCAAGCAAGAGCTGTGCTATAGGCGTAAGCCCATCTGGCTGGGGGCTCAAGTTCATGTTTTCAAAGGTTCTGGTGTTTACCTTGGATGCAGGAAGAAGAAATTTTAGTTAAGGTGCAGCAGCTTTCTTGATGTGTCCCCCACTAAAGCAGTATGACACATATTTGGATTCCATGTACACTGTTATTTTTCCATTTTAGACCCTTGAAGTTTTCTAAGTGGACTGCTCAAGGACAAGTCACTGCTGGAGGTGGTTGTGCAGGTCCTGTGTGGTAAGGCAAAGGCTGAGTCTATGCTTGAAGAAGGAGGGAAGGGGCAGAAAAAGTGTCCATGCACTGAGCAGACAGTACTGCATTGCCACTGTGAAAGCTGGGGAAGAAAATGGATAACAGCCCACAGGTCAAGCAGTGTGCACAGGCAAGGCCTGTGGGAAGTCTTGCCATTGTTTACCGTGAAGTTGCCCATCTCACTTGTTCCATTTCACACTTGCAGGTGGAGCTTAGTCTCCATTTTATCATTTGCTGACAGCGCAGTGAGCTGCAGAGCTGTGAGTTTTCTAAGTAAAAGCTTTGATCTCTGCCAGGGGGGGAGAACAGCAGACACAGGGAGGCTGCATGCACAGGAGGGCTTACAAGGCTGGCAGGGATGGTGCAGGTCACACCTAGAGTCAAGGGTTCTTCCAATTGCTTTCAGCAAGCCTTGAATATGGGCCCAGGTCTCTTCTATCTTAATTTGTTTTCTTCCAGTATTAAAGATGCACTAAGAGAGGGGGTAAAATGCAGTTAGTCTGGAAAGGGGAAGAATTACTTGCAACCATCTTTGAATACTCAATACTGTGTACTCCCTTACCCATGTCAGGGTTCTGAGGATATTTAGGGTATAACTGTGTTTGTTTCTATTTCAAATTAAAGAAGTCAGTAGTTCATTAATTGTCTCTATTTGCTGTCTGAGCAAAACACATTTAAAGGTCATAAGTCTGATAGACCACCTTAACATGCCATAATATTAAGGGCTGAACCCAATATATGTGACATCTTGAAATGCGGTGTCTCAGCAAATTTCTCTCAATAAATCCTTCTGAGTCCCAAAGCTTATTTTCTTGAGAAAATCAGAATCCTCTCAAGGTGGCATGCAATTGTAAAATAATTTTCTTCAGATAATAAAAAAATCTATTTTATAAATCTTTGCAATTTTGCCCTAAAGAAAGTTAGAGATGAAAATTTCAGTATATTAGCTGTTAAAAAAAAATACCAATTACAAAAAAAAAACACACACATACAAAAAAAAACATCAAAATAACCACCTTTTGGAGTTTTAATAAAGACCAGGATGGACTGAGAAAATTACAGAAGCTAAGAGTACAAATATGAAAACTGTACTAATTTGGAAGGTTGTGTGTATATACTGGGCACATCTCATTGCTATTACTAGCAGCAGTTTCACTTCTTGAGTACAAAATGAGTGAAACACTGTTCACTGCAACACAGGAACTGTTTGTCTCATTCAACTTTGCATTTGCATTTTTCAAAGACTTCCAGGGAATGGAAAGTTCTTCCAGTTAATGGACAGACATAACTTCCTTATTTAGAAGCTGCAGCCCCACTCACACCATCTCACAAGTCTACCATGGGAAGGACATAACACTGGCAGCCTACCCACAGCCAGTCCACATGGGCAGGCACCCTGCCCAGAAAAATCAAGACAAAAAAAGGACTCCTTTAATGTGTCTCCACATCTACTGAAGTGATATAAAATAGCAGCCTGCCTCCTTCCTTCCTCTGACGGAGCTGAATATCCTGACAGCATTGCTCCCTCCTGTGCATGAACTGCAGCAGTATTTTGGTGCATGCCCAAGTACTCAGAAATCACTCCAAGCACTGCTCTGCTGAGATAGCACAGGTGATCTGTTAGCAGCTTCTCCAACAGGACATGCATGGTGCAGACTCCACAAAAGTGCTCCAATCGTGCCCAGTGTGCGTTTTCACACTCTGGTGAAAAGTCAGTGGGAAAGAAAGCTTCTGAGGCAGACACCACTGTGACCCTTCCCTCTCCCATTACCTGCTTCTAGAATATCAACTCTTGCTCCTTATAGCACCCAACCCTTCAAGTCCCTTCTTAAAGGTCAATGTGTGGAATCAGCTCTTGAATACATATTTGTGCAAATATAATTGCAAAGCACATTGGCAACATAGATTTGCAGTAAGACAAAGCACATTGTGCTATCTTTATGACTGTACAACCACTGGCTTTCTCCTCTTCAGCTAGTGCTTACCTTCATAGCACCACAGTTACCACTTCTAGCTCTCCTATAGATGCATCTGAGCAGTTCGATCTCAAGAAAAGGGGAAAACTTATCCCATTCTCCTTGCTGGTCTGACATCTGGCATGCTTCATGGCTCAGCCAGAAAGCTTGAGGGAGGACTGCATTATCCATCTCAATGAGCTCTACCCAGGTCCACTGATACTAGTGCTCATTCGCTGCAAATGGCTGGTGCTGTCTTGGTAAAAACTACTCCATATAAATAAATACATTATCA